CCACCATTTACAAAGTGGCAGAAAATAATCCCCCCCCCGGGGGGAATATCACAATCCAGGAGGCAAGCTCGAGTAGTCTAGAGAAGTCACGTTTTATCTCCTCTGGGGGTCTGGGCTGCTGGAGGTCCGAGTTCAAATCTTGCCTCCATCACACTCTTTTTCAAAATTCAGCTGAGGTCCACTGCCTCAACTTCCTTAAAATAGCGACTGGGCCCAAATTATAAGAAAATAATTGGAGCAAGTGACTAAGATCGGAGTTGAAAGAGACACAGAAAAGGACCAGGGTAGAATTTTTTGTTGATGTTGTTGCTGAGAAGCTAGACTTCTCTCTGCAGGGATCTAAACTTTTATATTAGGGCATTCAAGAAGCAATCATTGCGCCATGTTGGTTAGGAATCATAGTTCAGCACTTAAGGAAGAGGTCCAGAAAGGTTGGCCAGCTCAGTTTAGCTTATTCTGTGAATTTACTCAGAAAGCCATGGTTAAATAATGGTACAAAGTGGTTACGAACCTAGGTATTGTGGTTCCAACCTTTATTGCATAATATATTGTGTTAATGCAACCCACCAACTTTTAATCATTCATAATTAGTAAACCACGGCTTAAACCAGCATTTCCCAACCTCAGCCCTTTCCTGGTGTGTGGACTTCAACCTCCAGAATACTTATCAATGGTCAATTCTGGGAGTTGAAGTCCACACAGCCAAAAACGGCCAAGGTTGGGAAACCCTGGTTTAAAATCAAGTATGAATCAAGGCACTGTGGTTTTACAGTCTGTGGCTTGGCATGTTGTGTCATCCCAATCAATCATGGCTTACCTAACAAAACCTGATGGATGGGCTGTTTTAATGTGACCCTCGTCTAAAATAATCAGGGACGAACTAGCAAAAATTGGGTGCTTACAAACCCCATCAAAAGACCAGTGCCTCGTCATATTGTGTGAAGCTGGCTGTTAAAATTAAACCTTTTCCCATTTTATTTCCCCCTCCCGCCCCCCCCCCCAAGGGAAAAAAAGAGCCGAGGTGGCGTAGCAGTTAGAGTGCAGTACTGCAGGCCACTTTAGCTGACGGTGTTCAGCAGGTCAGCGGTTCAAATCTCACCGGGTCAAGGTTGACTCAGCCTTCCATCCTTCCGGGGTAGGTCAAATGAGGACCCAGATTGTTGGGGGCAATGTAAATATATATATATATATATACATTGCTTACTGGTGTACACCGCTTAGAGAGTGCTTGCCCTTAAAAGCGGTATATAAGTCTCATAAATAAATAAATAAATAAAAACAAATAAATAAATAAAAACTCTCTTGCTTTTTTTTTTGTTTCTTTATTTTTAATAATTAATTTTTTAAAGTTGTACTTTTTTTGTTTTTCTATGAAAAACGGAGGGGAGGAAAAAAAGGACTAAGAGAATTTGCGAGACATTCATATATATATATATATATATTTATATATATATATTTTGAAACATTTGAAAATTTTCAAGGCACCTAAAATGAGGAGGAGGAGGAGGAAGAGGAGGAGGAGGCCAAAGGTTGCGCCAAAGAGAGCACTTTGGTTTCTCTGAAGTCAAGAAAAGAGGAAGGGGTGGGGTAGGGGTCAACAGAAAAAAAAGAAAAGAAATAAACACCCTTAGTTTGGCGTAGAGAGTTCAAGACGGAAAACTCAGCTTGGGAACTGGTGCAAGAATAGCTGGGACGTGAGGCAGTGGTGAGCGGGACAAGGCTTACTTGTCCAAAATTGTCTTTTTTTTTTAAAAAAAACTGTTACTGGCCACTGTGATCCCAGTCAGTTTTTCAAAAGGCTTTTTTAAACCTTTAGATCAAATCCCACGGGGCCATCAATGTCCTCTCTCTCTTCTACAGTAGTCTCTCTTTATCGCCGTTTCCACGCGCCAAGCCCCTCTCGATGGGCTAAGTCTGCCCTTTGCTGAAGACCTTGAGCTGTTCTCAAATCACTGATGATGGGGAAAGTTGTTCTCTTCCTTGACTTCCGTTGCCTTCAGTTGCGCGGGGAGGAATCAGAGACCTGGGAAGGTCACAACTAGGTGCACCTCCAGAGGAACTTTACGCCTTGGCTTCAGACGCTCCCAGGTTCATCTGTGGGTCTAATCAAGGAATCTACCACAAGGTGATGACCTCTGGAACTTGGGGACTTGTCGTCCCAGTTGACCCAAGTAACATCAGGATGGACAAGGCTTGGATTTTCACCTGTCCACAAGGCTGTGGATTTTGCTGAGTTGTCTAGAGTGGTGGAGGACAGCTGAAGATACTAAAGTGGAGACCGAGTGGGTCCCTTTGGAGTTGAGGCCCTATCCAAGGGAAGTTGGTTTCGGCAACCCCTCCCAGAAGGGAAGAATCCAGCAAGCCAGCAATCAGGACTGGTCTGTGCAGACATTCTGGAGGAAACTGGGTTAGTCCCATGTGCATTGGAGAGCCTCTCCAGCTGTTGGCGTCCTCCAGTATTCTCCTGTTTTTCTTTCTCATCTTGACCTTGGGCATGGAGGTCCTGCCCAATGGAAGGGCACCCTTCTTTGGCTTGACAGATTACATCAACCATGCCTTGACGGGCCCCTTTGTGGTCAAGAGAAGATGCTTTGATCTAGAAGCCAAGAATCTCCAACCCATCCCACCTTCTTCTCCAGTCACCAGTCTTGGCCGCTCAAGAAAGCTATATATTTTGCATCTTTTATCCTCTCAGTTCCTTTTTGCTGATTCCCTCCATCTCTACCACATTAGCGGCCCGCATGGTGTGGTTCTTGCCTTGGAAGATGGTTTACATCCATAAAGCAGCAGTTGGATTACTGGTCTGAGTCACATCGATCAACCTGACCTTTGAGTCCTTCCTTCTCAATATCCAAGTGTGCCCTGGGGGGAAAGATCTGTCTTGCGGACTGCAAGGCAGCCTTGGATCTGAAGGTCTTGACATTCTGAAGCTGTTTAATATGGGGACAGGTTGCCCAGCCATACTGGGCTGGATCCATTGTCAAAATATAGACGATCTCAAGCTAAGTGGAAGGGCTAGTCTACAACATGGTATCAGTGCTACAGACAGGCTACAACAGTGTTCCATAAACTTGGGACTTTTAAGATGGGTGGATTTCAACTCCGAGAATTCCCCAGCCAGCACGGAACTCTGGGAGTTGGGAGTCCACGCATCTTAAAGTTCCCAAGGATGAGAACTTGGGAATGGGTTAGAAGTTTGCTTTGGACCCTCGAGGGGAGCTTGTGTCCTTCCAGATGTGGACCACATTGGCCACGTTCCATTAATCCAGCTGGTACAGCCCGTAGAGAGGGACACTGGGAATTGTAGTTCACCCACAGTGGGAAGAACACACCTCCCCCTCCCGCCTGGCCAGATTAAATCTCAGCCATCCTATGGGAACATTATAGGCAAGACCGAATTTCTCTTCCTGTCACGTTTTGTGCAAGGATTGGAAAGCGTTCCTATGTATCTCCCTGGTTGGTTTGTTTTTCTAGAAAAAGCAAGTTGCTAGTCCTGCGCGCCTTGGCCCTGGCTATTTTAAGAACTTGCCCTTCTACATTTCCCTGATCAGCAAATGCCACTTTTGTACTTCTGTTGAGCCTTAAAAAAAACAATTAACCATCGCAAACAGCTCCTGAATTCTCTTTTCCTGAAAGGAGTCAGGCTTGCCAAGAAGGATGTGCAGGGGAAAAGCAAAAGGTGGCTTTTAAAAATAAATAAATAAAAAAGGCCGTTTGTCAAGCAAGGCTGATGCCGCAAGGACCGAAACACCATTTGAACAGAGACATTTTAGCCCGCCTGCCGAGTGCCGATAAGACCCTTGCCAAGGACGAACAGAAACACATCGGAGGCTGGGAGGGACTTCTTCGCCAACCTGTAGTTCCCCCCCCCCCAGTGACTGGAATCTAGTTTCCATAATCCCCGGCCCTCCGAGGGCACTTGAGAGGCTAGCAAACTGGGCTGATCTAAATTATTATTTTTTAATTGGCAAGTCGTCAATCACAACCTCGGCTCATTGCCATCCATCAGGGATCATCCTAGTGGAACCGCCATATATTTCTTTTTAAGGCCGACGGACATTTGATGGACAGACGTCACATTTTCTGGTTTTGGAGCATGGACAATATGTGGGTGGAGTGACATTGCAGTGTGTGGGGGGGGGGAGAGTGCATTTTATGGCCACGTGCCGGACCCCGATGTTCTTTTAAAACTCGGGTTTTTCAGAAGGGATTTGGGATGCTGGCCAGGAAGATGGAAGGTGAGTTGGGATACGAACCCATCAGACGCAGAAGTCCGAATAGAAAGGAAGATACGAGGGGGGGGGGCGTGAAATGGGAGGTTTCCCTCCCCAGCTTTGTCTGTTCCCAAAATTGTTATCTTAGACAAGCAGGTGGAAATGGAGCCATTGTATGCGCTGTCACCAAGCCAGCAGGAAGCCTAAAATAGCTGCTTACTTTTGATGGGGATGGACAGGGCAAACTGATGAGCGTCGAGGAGCCTTACTGGGAACTTCTAAAGTATTCAGATTGCAAAAGGGGGGGAGCTTTTTAATAAGGACCCCCCCATCCCATCCCACTCACCCTCTCCTTTTGATTCCCTTGCCTCCCTCCCAACTCCGCCAGGTAACCCTCGTTCAGTTTTTGCTTCTCCAAATAAAACTTTGCGGGGACCCCCCTATTTGTTCCTCAAGTCATCCTTGACTTACAACCACAATTTGGGCCCAAAATTTCTGTCGCTAAGCCAGACGGTTGCTCAGAGCGTTTTGCCCCATTTTACAGCCTGTCTTGTCACAGCTAAGTGAATCCCTGCAGTTGTTAAATGAGTCTGACTTCCTCACTGGCTTTGCTTGTCAAAAGGTTGCAAAAAGGGGGACCACATCACACACACACACACACACACACACAAACACAGACCAGGAGACATTGCAACCGTCATAAACACGAGTCAGTTGCCAAGCGTCCGAATTTTGACCAGGTGATCACGGGGAGGCTGCAAAAATCACAAGTCTGGAAAACGGTCATACTGTAAGTCACTTTTTTTTAGTGTAACTTTGGTCACTAAATGAATGCTTGTAAGTTGGGGACTATCTGTATCTTGCTCAGCCATTCAAGATCCAAAAATAAGGAACCGCTGGATGTTTTGCCTGTTCCAGCTTTGTGATACCCTTCCACTCCTTTTGGTGCCAGCTAACTTAGTTAATAAACAAGGATGTTGGGCATGGTGGTCCTAAAAAAACAACAACAAAACAGCTCTGGAAATACCAGGCCATAAAGATCATGGTTTAAATGCAACTATCCCTAAGAAGGTTGCAAAAGGTCAAGCACAAAGGCCCGTTTTCACTCCTCTGGGATGCCCCTGGCTCCTTTCTCTAGCTTGTTGTTTTCAAAATTAAATAAATAAAAAAAACCTCTCCTAAAACTCAAACTTGACAACTCTGAGCTGCAAATTGCTTGTGACGGCAAATGCCAAGCACACGCCGGCATATACCGGCACCCATCAAATCACCCACGTTAATGAGAGATGGGGAGAGGCATTTTTTGGGCACGTTTTTTTAAAAATATATATATATTTTAAATTTCGACTTTGCCGTGTGCTAAACGCCAGCTCCCCGAGAGCCTGCTCACATTATCTCGTTTTGTGAAGTGCTGGGTACGGAGTGAAGCATTTAATAAAATTACACTTCACGGGAGGTGAGACCAGCACCTTGGGTCCCAGGCCCTGATTATGGAAAGCGATGTTTGGTGGATAAATATTAGCTAGGCTGGAGCAATTTCTTCTCTCATCCTCCCACCCTCCTTCTCCCGGCTTGTTTGTGTGTTTTCCTGAAGGTCGGGAAAGACCGTCTCGGGGTTTAGTCAGAACCAGGGTCAGATCCTACAGTGACTCAGAGCAGTAGTCCATCAGCCAGTTGTAGCCTTGGCTCTGCACACTCTTCTTTGTTGTTCTTGGGCGCCTCCGCGCAAATAAAAACTTTCCCTGGCAATGCTAGAAGACCAAACTTGAGTCTTGCGTGTGGGCATTCTCGGAGGTCAGCCCATCGGTGCTGCCCAAAATCCACCAGGTCAAGCCAACGTTCCAAGTGCTTTGTCCTGCATCAGTGGCCGTTTTGTCTAAAATGGTACTGGGTCCAAGGTCCCCTCCAACTCTTGTTATTCCGTTAACTGTTTACAAACAACTCTGAATTGTGGGTTGCTCTGAGTCAATTGCGCTCAACTTCGCCAACTCCACCACGATCCGCAGTCTCTTCTTCTTCTCCTTCTCCACCGCAACTGCGTTATCAAGCAGCTTTGCTTCCCCCCCCCCCCTCCAAGACGGCCAGCTGTTTTGAACCTTAACTGGCTTTTCAGCCTCCTGATCATCTGGAGGACCTGCCTTTGGCTACAGTAACTCTGCAACTTTTGAGCCCCTGGATTCGCTCTGGAGAGAAACAAGCCCTGCACTGAATCCGTGAGAGGTCTAAATTGGGGGGTACAATTGAGAAAATGGCAGCCAGTGTGGTTGCCACTTGCCTGAAGTGCCACAAGCGATCTGCTCATCCTCCTCACATGAGAACACAAGGGCAGGAAGCTCTTGGAAGGAGAAAGAAGCTGTACGTTTGATTTGACGAACCACAAGTTGGATGGAAGAGACCAGGACCTTGCATTGAGGTGACATGGAGACCGTGGCACCTATCAGGATCCCCAGATCCCCCCAAGTTAGCAAATACTGAGTTAAGAGAGAGACAGAACTTTTGAACCATCTTGGGAACATCTCAAAAAACCATTCCCGTGTGAACCTGAGATTCATTGGGTATTCAGAGCCCCCCTCCCCCCCACCATGGAAGGTTTGATTATCTTGCTGGTTGGAAGACGCTGCTGGCCTGTCCCATCTTCACACGTCAGTTTTCGTTTGTTTGTTTGTTTTGCTAAAAAGGCAAGGGCTACATGGTGAGTTTATTCCTACGAAGAGAAAATCGTCTCGAATGATAGCTGGGTGAAGAGGAGGTAACGATGGAGAGCTTTATCACTGAAGCTGCGTTGACCAGAAGACCACAGAAGATTCTCCAGTTGTGACAAAGAGCGATTTTTCAGAACGCCCCCCTCCAAAGAAAAACGGGGGGGGACCCCGCCCCTGAACCGCATTGTTCAATTTTGCACGATAAATCCAGAACCTGTAAGGAAAGCAGAATTACGGGGTGCAAAACAAGAATGATCTCCCCACGCATCCTCCAGGACAGTTGACAGTTTAGCCATCACGACAAGGGTATCCATTTTTCTTTCTTTCTTTCTTTTTTTTTATAATCTAACCCCTGAACAAAATAGAAGATTTATACAGGAAGAAAGATAAACAGGTAGCATTTTTTTTTTTGATTCTCAGTGTCATTTCCTCTAGATCTTCCCCTGTTCCCTTCTATCCCCTTGCAGGGGAAAAAAAAACAACAACCACCGCAAGCCCAATAAAACCAAAAGTTCATTCACAATTGTTCCTCCCGACCGCTCCTTTTTTTGTTTTTTGTTTTGTTTTTGTTTTAAATCTGGCATATTAAATATAAATTATGTCTTTTGTCCCCTCCGTATCTACTTTTCAAAACTTCGTTGTGTACGCTGTGTGGGTTTTCTCGCTCTTCCCCTCCCCTACAAAAGAGGTTGGTTTGTAAAATTTGCTTCCCTTTCCCTCCCCTTCGGTTCTAGCTGGTTCTGCTCTGAAAATATAAGTCTGCGTTTGCCCGTTTCTCTTCCTTCTCGGCCAAACCCCCCCCCTCCCGAAAACCACCCATCCAAAGAACCGATCCAAACCCAAACCTGTGTGCGGTGTGCGTGTGTTTGTGAGAGAGAGGTTGGGGAGAGGGTAAAAATGGGAGCGTGTGTACTGTGGGCGCAGGGGGGGGGAAGGCGGCACGATGCATCTGGAAGGAGGGGAAAAACTTTGCATCATGTATAGGCGTAGTCTACGTCTGGGATGCCCCCTTCTCTGTATCCCCGAGTTGTGCCGTAGCCAATTGTGTGGGTACTTTTGTAAAGGCTGGTTCCATTGGAAGGGAATATGGTGTGGATGACGTATTCTTCCTTCGCCCGGTGAGGATTGATGGGGATCATTTGCAAGCCGGGCCCTCGAATTTCCAAGATGGAGTTGTCTTTCTTGGTGCCCGACTCCATGTAGTCGTCCTTCTTGCGACTGCCTCGCTCGCGCGTCAGTAGCTCACCGGTCCGGTGGACGTACCAGCAAATGGCAGCCATGACCAGGAAGAGAAAGACCAAGGCCACTGCCCCGCCGATGATCCCCGCCAGGGGCAGCCCAGCCATGGGGTCGAGGTTTTGCTCGTGGTTGAGGGTGGTAGTGGGACTGTACATGTCGGCGGTCTCGGCTTTGGCGCACACAGGGCTCTCGTCCGGGATGTAGGTGTTGCCTGTCTCCATGGTGACCATGCAGATGATGTAGGTGGACTTGGGCTCCAGGGCGGTCAGGAGGTACTCGGTCTTGTCGCCTTGCACCAGCGTCTCGGTGATGGAGCCGACGGCCGGGCTGTGGCCCAGGCGCAACCAGCTCAGGCGGAAGGAGGCTGCCGGAAGGGACGCCTTCCAGCTGATGCGGATGCTGTCGGCAGTCAGCGGCTTGACGTTCAGCACCAGCGTCTTGGCTCCCGATCCGGTGGCCATTGGATAGTCGATGTTGGAATCAGGCAGCTGGATGCCTGGGCGTTTGGCTTTGAGGGTGAAGAGGGAGCCCTGCGGGGTGGTGACGGCAGCATTGCTGGCCGTCGTCTTGGCCGCCACCGCTGAGTTGCTTTGCTGGCCAACATCAAAACACTCATCCATCTCATTGGTGATGTCTTTGATGGCCATCCCTCTGACCCGGTCAGGCCCTTGGCACATCAGTCCTCTGACGTTGACTACCGCAGCTCGGGCCTTGACCCAATCCCTCAGCCACATGAGGTTGCAGCCGCAGTACCACGGGTTGTTCCTCAGCAGGAGCTGGGAAAGGCCATCCAGATCATCAAAAAGGCCCTTGGGCAGGGTGGTCAGGTTGTTGTTGGACAGGTCGAGCTTCTCTAGTTCCCTCATCTTGGACAGGGTGTTGTACGGGATGTGGCTGATGGCGTTGTCCTGAAGGTACAGCTTCTGCAGGTGGGCGCTGGGCAGGTTGAGTGGCGGGGCCGCCAGGGAATTGCGCACCAGCGAGAGCTCGCTGAGGTTCTGCAGGCGGCTGAAAGTGTCGTCCGCGATGCGCTGGTTGGCGAGCAGGTTGCCGTCCAGCACCAAACGCCGCAAGCTGTTCAGGCCTTTGAAAGCGTGGAGGGGAATGGTGGAGATGCGGTTGTCATCCAGGCGAAGCTCCTCCAGAGTGCGCGGCAGCCCGGATGGGATGCTGCTGAGGTGGTTGCGGGAGAGAAAAAGCAGCTTGAGGCGGGTGCTGTCAGCAAAGGCATCGTCCTCAATGCTGACGGTGGAGACCGAGTTGTCGTCCAAGTGCAGTTTCTCCAGCAGAGGGATCCTGGCCAGGGAGTCCCGGGCGATGGTACGGACGTTGTTGTCCTGCAGATGCAGCTCCTTCAGCGAGCGAGGCAGGTTGACGGGGAATTCGTCCAGATCATTTTCGTAGAGGTAGATGACCTGCCGGGAATCAGAGGAATCCGTCATTCAGCAGGGCGGAAAGGGAGGAGATTACATGGTGCTTAATTTAGAAAACTCGACAGTGTTCCTGAGCTTAGAACTAAGCGAGGTTCTAGATCAAGGGTGTGAAATTGCCAGCCCGGGGGCCGGACGCGTCACGAGGAAACTGCGCCCACCCCATTGTCGGCAATGGGGGAAAAGTTCCAATACGATGTCACGTGACGTCGCGAGTTTGACATGTCTGTTCTAGATGGTCCAAAGCTAACCTTGTTTCTAGAAGTAAAATTTGCGGAGGACAGAATGGGAGGTGGTTAGCATTCTGTCTCACCACTCTTGAGAACTGCTTCCTAATTGTTAGTCCAGTATTAATCTTGGTGTTAGTCACTGCTTGTGAGATTAACATACCCCAATAAAATACCGCAGATATCCCAATCAAGAAACTAGCAACTCAGTCAAACAAGCTAACAGTAATTAACAGCCTAATCGTGGGACCACCAAGAACCCATCCCCAGCACCACTGATAGGGCAAGCCACTAGTATATAATAAAATGAGAGCGAACCCCACTCCATTCAACATGATGATGTTACCTAGTTGGATCACGAAACGTCTGCAAGAAATCTACCAAGGTCAGAGAGCCCCAAGGATCCCTCAGAAACCTAAACATAATTGGCCCCTCACCTCCTTCTCCATCTCCTCTCCTCTCCTCTGGCTCACCTGAACGTTGAGTTTCTTCTTCAAACTAGAAGGGATTCCCGCATTGTTGATCTGGTTATTCTGCAGATAGAGGGTGGTGGCATCGTCCGGAATGTCAGCCGGGATGGAGGTGAGGCCCCGGTCGTTGCAGTAAATGAAGCCGTTGTCACACCGGCAGACCGAGGGGCAGGTCGTGCTGTCAATCACCTCACTCAGAAAGGCCACCAGCCCATAGCAGAGGAAGATCCAGTCGCGCAAGTCCATAGCGGCCGCCGTGGTCACCACAGTGGCGGTCACCACGGCGGCTGTTGGCGACGCTGTCGCCATGGTGCCCGGTGCCTTTGGCCGTCCCAGGTTGAAGCCTTTTGAACCTGCAGAAGGGGTCAAGTTTGTATATTTAGCCCAGAGCTGTGGTGAGAATGCAGCATTGCAGGCTAACTCTGCCAACTGCCAGCAGTTCAATCTCGATCTGCTCAAGGTTGATTCAGCCTTCCCTCCTTCTTCCGAGGTCAGTAAAACGAGGACCCAGATTGTTGGGGGGACAAAATGCTGACTCTGTAAGCCACTGAGAGAAGGGTGTAAAGCCCTGTGAAGCGGCATATAAGTCTAAGTGCTTATTGCTATTGCTAGATTATCTTTGGGAGATCTCAGGGAAGATGGAAAATGAAAATATATAATGATTCTCTTCATCGTTCTGCTAAATGTCTGAATCCTCTGGCTGGGTTCAGACACTGGACTAAGGCAATCTGGGGTTGGGGGAATCCAAGATAAGCAAACCCCTATTTCAGAATCTTCAGTAAACCCTGATTAAGTCAGCTCAGCTCCAGGCCTCTGTAAGAGCTGAAAAACACGGCCGTGTCTGTTGGCTCGGGGTGCCAATGGAGGGGCTTCCCGCTGGGACTGATTGACGGATTAACAGACCCCACCCTTTCCCCCCTATCTTTGCAGCTAAGTTGATTTGATAGCCTTGTATTTATATTACAAATTACAGCGGTTTTATCTTTGGATATAAATGTAAGCCTCCCCGAGTCACCCTGCAGCAAGATGGGCAGCTAATAAATTTTACCAATTAATCAATTAAAACCGGCTCTTTCCCTCAACAAATGCAGTCAAATGAAGATTGAATCCAGCCAGAGATCAGCCCCCTTCCCCTCTCCACCCCCCCCAAAGCATTTAGATTTTTTTTCCCCCTGCTTGCTCCGATCGCCTTTGACAGGCAGAATCTCCATTTTGCTGCTGGTTGAGAGGAGGTTGATTCGGTAAACACACGCAACCCGCACCCGTCACCAGACAATAGGCATAATTGGAACCTGCATCCTCCCTGCCTGCCATTTTGCTCACCTCTGTTCAACGCCTGACCTCCCAGGGACCCCCCAAACACCCTTTTAAGGCAACTTTATCCCCAGGGTCACTAGGAAGGAAGGAAGGAAGGAAGGAAGGAAGGAAGGAAGGAAGGAAGGAAGGAAGGAAGGAAGGAAGGAAGGAAGGAAGGAAGGAAGGAAGGGAGCTGTAGGTCCTGGCTGATGAAAACAGGGAGATGGAACCCTTCAAGTACACAAGTAGCTGTTGACTTACAAGCACAATTGAAGCCCCAAAATCTCCCACTGCTAACCGAGATAGTTGCTGAGGGAGCTTTGCCCCATTTTATGACCTCCCTGGTCACGCATTATTAAGCGAATCCCTGCGGTTGTTAAGTGAGTAACCCGGTTGTTAAGTGGATTCCCCCCCACTGACGTTGCTTGTCAGAAGGTCGCCAAAGGGGATCACGTGACCCCCCCCGGGGGCGCTGCCATCATCACAAAGATGAGCCCATTGCCAAAGTGCCTAAATTTTGATCCCTTGGCCAGGAGGATGCTGTGACGGTCCTAAGTGGAAAACGTACGGCCCTTTTATCAGTGCTGTCGTAACTTCGGTCACTAAACGAACTGTTGTAAGTCGAGGAGCAAAATCCCTCCCGACCAATAAATGCTAAGGGTGGTTTTGCTAGCTACCCGTTTGGACCAATTTTGTGGATTGGTCCCCGAACCAGCATCACGTATAAGGAGTCCCTTTATGCAGCCAACTTACCTTGTACTTGTAGGATTTCAGCTTGCCATACATTCTATCAGCTGTAATGCTTTTCCAAATCCGGCACACACACACACACACACACACACACACACACCCTGTTTGTCTTTTTCTTCAACATCCCACAAAATCTGGATGCCAGGGCGAGAAAACCCCCCCACCTTTGGTGGTGTCTCCTTTTTTGCAAGGGCGAAACTTCAAATGCAGGAAATGGGAAGCATTGAGCAGCTGTCAAGTTTCTGAGCATAAAAATCCATCCGTCAAGTTGGCCAGCGCTATCTGTCTGACTGCACCCTGGGGGGGGGGGCTTGGTACCCAAACAGCTGGGCTTTCTTCAAATATTGTTGGTTTATAAATGTTCTTGCAGATGGCACTGAAAAAGCAGGGTTTCCCCCCCAACTTTAGCAACTTTTAAAGACCTGGACTTCAATTCCCAGAATTCCCCAGACAGCACATCTGGTCGTGTGAAAAACGGGCAGGAGTCACTTTTTTTTCAGCGCCGTCGTAACTTGGAACGGTCACTAAATGAACTGTTGTAAATCGAGGACTATCTGTAAGCAGAAAATCAAAATCCTTCCCCACCTATAAATGCTAAGAGGGGGTTTTCCTAGCTGCTGTTTGGACAAATCCTACGGGAATGGTACCCAAACCAGCATTGCGTATAAGGAATCCTTACGTGGCCAATTTGAGTATCAAAAATGATGCGAAGTCGCTTTTTTCAGGGCCATTGTAACTTTGAACGGTCCCTAAACAAACAGTTGCAAGTCGAGGACTACCTTATTTAGGCTTTTACCCTCTTTCTCCTTAATTTTCAGCCGGTTTCCCAAGCTTCTGCCCTGGCCTTTCTCGGCTTCATCCTCCCAGCGTTCATGTCTGCTCCTTGCTTATCCAAGCTGGCCTCTGTTGGAAAACTGACAGCTCCTTTTTTCCAGGATTTTAAGCTTTACAAGGTTCCTGTGCATCCCTTTTAACCTCAGCTGAGTTAAATTCTTCCCGGCGTTATATTTTTTTTACAAGGCTCTTTTCATGGAAGATTTGAGTCGGCGAGCTGTCTTGCTGGGCCCCGTGCCTATTAAATCGCTTCCTCGCCCTGATTTCATTATGCGTACAATTTCTCCATCGTGTGCATCCTTTTTTCCCTTTCTTTCCCCCCCCTGTCTCTTTTTCTTCCCCCACCCACCAGCATTTTTCTATCGTCCACTTGCTGCCGCTGCTGCTTTTTTTTTTTTTTTTTTAGGGGGGAGGACGACTTTATCCATCCTGGCCTATAAATTCTTTACGGCCCAATATTTTGCGGCGTCAAATGAAAAAGAGACTCAACCAGGCGTGGTTTTTCCATCTCTGGGTAACCGCTGGGCGGGTCCAGCCACACAATCAGCCCCCCTGTGAGATCGCAGCGCTTGCTTCAAAACTTCCCAAATTGCTGTAAATCAGCCTTATCTCCCCCCACCCTCCATTTTTTTTTAAATTTTTGATCACCGCTATTTAGATTGTATCTTTCAGAATTTCAGACCTGGGGCGTTTGACAGACCCAAGCAGTCTGGGTTCCCAAAGCAGGTTGAGAACGATTGCAATTATTCCGGGTTCTCAGTTTGAATAATAAGTACGAATCAGGCTGCATTTTACATTAAAACACCCCCCCCCCCCGTGCTTCTTCTTCTCCTTCCCCCCTCCCTTAAAACTACCCAAGCTTTGCCTATTGTTCAAATGTTGCTTCTTAAGCCTTGTAACTGACCTTGTTTAGAGTGATGTACGAACCAGGCTTCTTTCTGTTGTTTTTCCGAAGCCAGGGAGAAGCAAAGAAGCGTTTAAATTGTCATTTTAAATTTTAAATGGTTTTCCTGCGCGGTGCCTCCTGGTTTTGCCCCTCCAAATAATGGGTGCTCAACGATTGCAGACCTGTCTGTTCAGGATAATTATCCATTAAGAAAATATACAGGTAGTCCTTAACTTACGACCCTCATTTCCTTTGCTAAGCCAGGCAGTTATTAAGGGAGCCAGGGTCTGATTTTAGAGCCTTTTTTTTTTTTTGCCATAAACGAATCTGTCGTTAAGTGGATCATATAATCATTAAACAAATCTGACTTCCCCCCCCATTGAATTGGCTGGCTGGAAGCTGGTTGGGAAGGTCACAGATGGCCCTCACATGATCCCTGTGAGTTGCTAAACACCCCCCTCCACACACACACACACACACATTTTGATCACGTGATGTGGGAATGCTGTCAGTGCAAGGACTGGTCGTCTCTTTTCCCCCCAGTGTCGTCGTAATTTCGAACGGTCGCTAAATGAACGGTTGTTAAGTCGAGGACTACCTGTACGCCAGGGTCCTTCCCCTCCCCTATCCCCCGTCAGAAACATTGCTGACTCAAGATATAATGCCATTTTGCAATGGTCAGGAGGGATCCGGCTACTCTTCTGATACGGGTCAGTGGCACATAAATAAACGGCCATGGGCCAGGTCCTCCCCTCCCGTCAGCAATAGTGAAAAATGAATGAGGAAGGGGATATTATTCCACCCATCAGTGAACATGACAGCAGGTCTGTATTGCTTTAAGCAGACTACAGGTGGTCCTCAGCTTACAACAGTTTAGTGACTGTTCCAAGTTACAACAGCCCTGAAAACAATGACTCGTAGCCCCTTTTTCACACTTACGTCCGCTGCAGCATCCCCAACGGTCGTGTGGTCAAAATTCGGACGCTTGGCAACCGACTCACATTTACGACAGTCGCAAAGTCACGTGATCCCCTTTTGCGACCTTTTGACAACCTCAAGGGAGAAGCCACATTCACTTAACAACCAAGTGACTAACTGCAGGGATCTCCTTAACCGGGGCAAGGGAGTTTGTCAAAATGGGGCAAAGCTCACTTCACCGTCTTGCTTAACGACGGAAATTCTGGTCCACCAGGTCCAAGGGTTCCTTGTAAGTCAAAACCAGAATATTCCTCTTTGCCTGACTTTCGCTCTTTGCGGCCGCAGCCCTGAGCCTGAGTCGTAAGCCGAGGACTTGCCTATTGGTGAGAAAGGAGTGCAGCGGATGGAAACTCATCAAGGAGAGAAGCAACCTAGAACTAAGGAGAAACTTCCTGACAGTTAGAACAATGAACCAGTGGAACAACCTGCCTCCAGAAGCGGTGAATGCTCCACACTGGAAGTTTTTAAGAAGAGACTGGACAGCCATTTGTCCGAAATGGTGTAGGGTTTCCTGCCTGAGCAGGGGGTTGGACTAGATGACTTCCAAGGTCCCTTCCAACTTTTTATTATTATTATTATAAATGCCACACCTAAATTTAAAAAAAAGAA